TGTGGCTACAGCATTGATCAAAGTTCTGCTCAGATATAATAGCTACTATACACTGTGGGAAAATAAGCTATTGGCCATCATTTTTTCCAGAGTAGTACAATGTTTGAAATATATGTGGATTTTATCTAGCTGAAAAACAAAACCAGAAAATTACTATACCGTGGGAATTTTACACAGTTGCCAAAATTATGTTTGTTCAAGAAGTCATTTCAGTGACTCTTTAGCTATATGGCCAACTGTACTCATATATGTATAACATACCGTGAGAAAGGTATACAAGTATCATCAATTTACCTTCTATAATGTAGGCTCAGACTACAAAAGTGTACTGCTATAGTGTCATAATCTGTAATTATGGTCTCTATCTCATAAAACATTCAAATCCCTTAAAGAGGGTAAATCAAAAGTTGGCATGTAGAAGGATTAAACCCACAACCTTGTGCAAAGCTGAAAGTGAACATGTTATCCAACTCAGCTATAGGCTCATATAGTAGCAGCCTATCAATAGAGCCATATGGCAGAAATGAATCATGGTAAACAGATTGCTGTAGTGCTCTTGAGGGCATGGCTGTCACTTTGCCAAGTAATACATATAAGTGCTGAAGAGATTGTAAAGGCAATAGCCTCTTTCAAAGTTGAGTTAAGGGAGGGCCTTAACTCGTTTAAGGTGCTCCTTAACTCGTCTCGAGCTCGCGCCTCGGGTTCCACGCGCCTCTGTGATCCGATCAACCGCAGAGGGCGCGCGCGCGCGCGGTGCCGTGCACCGCGCATCGACGAGGCTGCCGCTCGTTGCCACGGGCATGGATGTTGCATCAGATATTCTCATACGTAGCCTTCTTACTTCGATAAATTAATATTACCAACAACAATTGCATACAAAGACTGTGGATGTCCACAACTGTACAGTCAGGGGGGCTGTCGCAGTCCTCGTTGTCGCCGGTGCAATCGATCAATTTTGTTTGCTGACCACCACCATAATGTCCAACGATCCCGAGGAGTCTCGTGCGGCACAGGCCAATGCTCTTCACCAAGCCTACCTTGTGGCCCTTGTGGCCGAGCTCGAAGCTCGCCGACTAGCTGCCGAGGAAGACGATTCAAGTTCTTCGAGTTCCGACTCCGGCTCCGATACCGATTCCGACGATGAGGATTTCCCTGTGTCCAGTGCCATCCTTGACAAACTTGCGAATCTGTTTTCCGAACGCTACCTGAAAGATCGCCTTCTTATCCGCAAGACCTCTGAACTCCTGGATCTACTGCTCAACGACTATAAAATCAACCGTCCCGAAATCTTCCGCAGCTACCTTCGTGTCACACCACAGTGCTTCGACGACCTCGTCAAAGCTCTCGGACCGCATGCTGTCTTTCAAAACAAATCGAACAATAGCCAGACCGATCCCGCATGTCAAATCGCTATAGCTTTATATCGTTTGGGCCACTATGGAAACGCAGCAAGCACTATGAAGGTTGCATTGCAGTTCGGGATCAGCTACGGCTCCGTTCAGAACTTCACCAGTCGCTTCTTCCAAGCCGTGACGTCCACTGAGTTTCAGAACTCATCTCTCAAATGGGCAACACCTCGCGCAAAGGCAGAAGCAATGGAGTGGGTCGAGCAGCAGACCTGCCCCTCGTGGCGCAAGGGCTGGCTCATGGTTGATGGCACCCTTGTCCCTCTATTCCGCCGTCCGGGCTACTTTGGCAACAACTTCTTCGATCGCAAGGCAAACTATTCAACAGCCGTAGAGGTATACTCATCCGTATCTACCACTACAAAGATTGTAGACTTACACATGCCTAGATCGTATCCTTACCAGACTTGCGTATTATCGATTTCTCTGTCGGTCGACCTGGAAGCACACACAACTCTACGGGTTGGAGAGATACTTGGGTATATCAGCGTCGGGAGGGGTTGTTGCGATCAGATGAGTGGATCTGGGGGGACTCTGCATACCCATTGACAAAATGGTGTCAATCACCGTACATCAAGTGAGTACACTCACCTTCACTTCTCACGGCATCTTATTTATGCCCCTTTAGGCCTGAGAAGCGCCACCCTGACAACAAGCAGTTCAACTACTATCTCTCCCGCGTACGTGTTCGCTCCGAGCATGCAATCGGATACTTGAAAGGACGCTGGGCTTCTTTGAAAGGTCTTCGTGTCTCCGTCGATGACCTTGAAGGGCTTAAGTTCGCCTCAATATGGATTCGGTCTGCCATCATACTACATTCGTACGCTATGGAGCACGAGCGCAATGCAGGACAGGCAATCGAACGTGATGGGTTCTTCATGTCAGGCAGACGCTACATGCGGAGGAAGAAGAGGTTTGAGCGTGAGTGGAAGCTCACAGGCCATGACCGTACAGTATATCGGCAGCAGACAGATGCAGAGGAAGAGGAAAGTTTGGCGCAAGGACAGGAGAAGCGGGAATGGTTGAAGGAGCGACTCTTTGCCGAACTTGGTATGGAACTGCACCCAATTGAAGAAGAGACTGACGAGGATATGGACGACTTCGAGATGGATGTAGAGTAGATGTAAGTGAGAGTAAAAGTAGAAGCAAGCACACTATGAAGTTAACCAATAGCAAAGTATTAGAGAGGTAAGATAGAGTCAGTTGAACGAGTGATGGTTTAGAGTGTGATGTACGAAGACGAATATTAGTGTAGGTTAGGGTCGATGAATAGATAAGGTGCAGTAGGAGCTTGGGGGTCATAGGGATCAGCAGCAGCATATGGATTAGGTTGGGCAATGGGCTGTACTGGCAATCCACGACGAGCTTGAAGCAAGGCAAGCTCACGATCCATCATCTCACGTTGGAAATCACGTTGCTTCTGAGCTTCCACAGCTTGGAACTCAAGGCGTAGCTTCTCCATGTCGAACTTGTTCTTCTCGTGCAACTCCGTCTTCACTCGCTGGGACTCGACACGAGAGCGACCAGCCACTTCAACAGCTTCCTTGATGTCGCTCCCAATGGCAGCGAGGCCCTTTTTCTTTGGGAGCGACGATGCAGATGGAGCGGGTGTGGATGGTCGTTGTGTGGGAGTGTGCTTGTGACCCGAAGACGACCTTGTCACCACTGTTGCACCAGCACTGTGACAAGAACGGCGGGGCGATGCTGTAGGTGAGGCGAAGAGACGCGGTATGACAGGGCCATCCAGCCCGCGATCACGATTGTGATGGTCATCTTGAGAGCGAGCACGTTTGTGTGATTGCGATGGGGTCTTTGGAAGTTCTGTGTGTCCACCGAGAATAGGCGAAGAATCCCCAAAGAACTCTACAGACAGTGCTCGCGGTGGAGTCCCCAACAGCTAATCTGAGGGGGAGTGGGAAGGACGACGCGAGAGAGAATGCGGGCGAGATTGCGAGTGCGAACGAGAACGTGACCACTGTGAAGGGGTCCGTCCATGGGAGTGCGAGCGTGAACGTGAATGTGGGCGCGAATGTGACCGTCCGCGGATCCTGGCGGGAGTAGGAGAGTGGGAGCGCAAATGTGAACGGGAGCGAGGTGATGCCCGCCGAGGTGTCTTGCGAGCGTGACGTGGCTTGGAGATGGTCACGGGCATGGAATCGTCGGAATTAGAGCTGTCGTCGTCCTCGTCGTCCTCGTCGTCCTCGTCTTCGGACGAGTCAGAATCAGAGAGGCCACCCTGAGTAATTGTGAGCAAAGTCGCAGCGATGATATAATAATAATGGCATACCTTCATTCCACGTATGCCACCAGTCTTGACCGGTGACTGGCTGTTCGTCACAGCCTTCGTCGTGAGTGCGGGACTGCGACGCATCAGCTCGTCCATGTCTTTGTACCACGGAAAATTCCGGCATATTTTGTCTACAATAGTATGAGCATGACGTATAAGGCAAACATGAGCGAAAGAGAGTATACCCCATATATTGGCAATTTTGCTGCCATCCCATATCTCGTCTTCTTTATCCTTGTCGACAAGCCCTTGACCTGTTTCGCCAAGGTCGGTGTGATGCTTGATGTACTTCTTCTTCATCCTAAGAGATAATCAGCATAGTCACACACACACATAGTAGGTTACGCACACATCAATGCGATTGACGATGGCAGTTCCTTGCACCTCGAGCGGCCAAGCAGCGAACGGAGTCTTCTTCTCGAATACGTATGGTGCGAGAGCTTCGCCAAAATCTTGCTTGTTCATTCCAGCACTCGACGGAGTCGCGCCGTCACCCTTTTCCAGACCGAATGCAACACGAATCTGGGGCTTATCCTTCAGTCGTCGTATGAGGTAGTCGGTCAGTTTCTGCCACTTCTTGTTCTGCCAGCTGTGTTGGTGGTCAGCCAAGGCCCTCAACAAGTACATCTCGCTCACGTATGGGACCCGATGACGTGATGCCGTCTTCTTCTTAGAAGCCTTCGAAGCCTTCGCTGCCGCCAGCTGGGCATCCTGCCCTCTTGCCTTCGTAGACAGAGATGAGCGAGTCTTGCCCGGGGTTTCGAGACCAGCTCTTTGTAGCAGCTCCTGTGCCTTCGCGATTTGCGAGGCAGAAGGCTTCGTCTTCGCACGAGCCATAATTTATGATGGAAGCAGAGGAGATGCTTCACGCGTCGCGGCTCAACGAAGTCGGCATGCCGTGGGAATAACGGTCTCGACGAGTTTAACTTGCTCGGTAGCTATCTGAGTACAATCTACAGTACTCTGGTATGTTCTACTGACATCTTTTCCTTGGGGATATAGTTATAAACACGAAGTAATGCCCGTGGCGACGAGCGGCAGCCTCGTCGACGCAAGCCTCGTCGATGCGCGGTGCACGGCACTGCGCGCGCGCGCGCCCTCCGCGGTTGATTGGATCACAGAGGTGCGCGGAACCCGAGGCGCGAGCTCGAGATGAGTTAAGGAGCGCCTTAAATGAGTTAAGGCCCTCCCTTAACTCAACTTTGAAAGAGGCTAATCTCACACCGAGTGTGCTTGCCATATATGATCTTGACATGCTCTTTAGATGGGTAATAGCTAGAGC